TGCGACCATTCCGGATCGTTATCCCGTCCCTCATCTTCAAGATTTTGCTGGAGCTCTTTTCGGCAAATCGGTTTTCTCGAAGATTGACCTTGTTCGGGCCTTCCATCAGATTCCTGTCGCTCCTGAGGATGTTTCCAAAACTGCCGTCGCCACACCATTCGGCCTGTTCGAATTTATTCGCGTGCCATTTGGTCTTCGCAATGCTGCCCAAACATTTCAGAGGTTCATTGACCAAGTCCTACGTGGTCTTCCGTTTGTGTACGCCTACATCGATGACCTCTTGGTGGCCAGTCGAAATGCCGAGCATCTTGCCTTAATGTTTGACCGTCTCGATCAGTTTGGCGTGGTCATTAACCCTTCGAAGTGTGTTCTGGGTGTGCCGTCCCTTGATTTTCTTGGCCACCATGTCGATGCACAAGGTTTGCGTCCCCTGTCTTCCAAGGTTAAGGCCATTCGTGACTTTCCTCCACCAACCTCCAAGCGTCAGTTGCAACGTTTCCTTGGCATGGTAAACTTTTATCGCCGGTTCCTACCGAACTGTGCCGACCTTATGCTGCCACTCACCAACTTGCTCTCTGGTCCCAAGGGTCCCCTTGAGTTACGTGGCCACGCGCTGACTGCTTTTGAGAGAATAAAGACCTCCCTTGCTGATGCTACCTTGCTCACTCCTTTGTGACGTATCGACTCCTTTTCATCGCCCTTATGTGCCTGCCTCGATGCGTNAATTTTTATAGGAGGCATTTGTTTCTAGAATTATTGTAGAAGTGGCATTCAAGAATTTTTCTCTAGCAACGATGATATCTTTGAGGACTTAACCAAAATGAAGGAAAAGGATAAACTTCAATCTTAAAAATAGAACGCTCAAAGGAGCATTCTGTGGTACAATTTGCCATGATTGTTTAAGGAACATACATCAGCCGACAGTCGATAAACTGTCATACTTGATAGAAGTTACAAAAGGAGTCCTGATGATACTAATATGAAATGTCATTGAGTTTGACAACAAAGTTAGATTTGCCCAATATGCCGTAAAATGCAACTGAAGGTACTGAATTCGCAGTCATAAAAACCGAGTCTAATTTTTCAAAATCGCGAAGATGAAACTAGACGATGCTCGATGTTCGATTTCACGTTGTTTCTGGTGCTTTTGCGTATTAAACATTATTCCTAGTTCCCGAAAGGCCCTTAAGCCCTTCGGATTCAACTTGGACTGAATACAGCGATTAATATAAGGTAGAGAAGAGGTCTGTTGCAGTAGTAAACGTGAAAGACGATGCAATGGAGTACCGATGAAGGGAAAGACTGGAAAGAAGTCAATAAAGCGGCCGGATCCTGCAGGGACCATCATTTAATATCTCACTGTGTGGTTCGGCTTTGTTTTCCATTAAACAAACAAAATTATAATGACTGAGATTTGGCCCACCAACGAACAGAAGGGCTAAATGGGATTCCTACAGGCTTGAAGCAATATTTCCCTGGAATGAATTTAAAGCAGGTATACACAGCAGAATTTATTAGAACCAGTAAATTTCGCGACGGCTTATCAACTGCAGCCTGTCGTTGCATAACACGTATAACAAGTGAGAAAGATACAGAGGTTTGAACTATGACAGAGAAAATTAATGTAAAACAGCAGGGTCATCGTATACTGCACGTAGACTAATCAATAAAATGGTAACTTCAAAACGCAACATAGGAAAGAAAACGGGGAAGTAAACACGCCGAGGGATTTCGTAAATCAAAAGGGACTCAGGTCTACCAGGGCAAGCTGAGATTGACCACGTGGTCTCACTTGTTATCTGTGTTATGCAACGACAGGCTGCAGT